TTCTAAAGTAAAGCTGAGACATTTTTAAAATAGATTTCATTTATTAACTCAACCTATCATTACATATCACCATAAATATTTTTTGAAAAGTACTTTTCATAACAAGATACAAGCAATTACTGAGGAGAGTGGCACTGTTTTGCATTTCCCACACACCTCTCCGACTAGCTCCGTAGGGGAGGCCGGGTTCTCCCGCCTGCTTCCGCATCTAGTGTGCTGTGCGTCACACACAGCCTGCCCTGCGGCCTCTGGGGAAGCCCACTGCACACTTGGGCACGAGGAGGTGAAAAAGACAATGCCTTAGGAGTACGAAAGTACTTTTTATCTCACAGAACTGCTGCAGATCATACGCCCAAAGCCGGCTGTCCCCAGGCACTGTCTGAGAACTGCTGGTCAGAGGTTCAGGGACCAACAGCAGCCTGGCCCCACTGTCCCTGCAGCTTCTACTCACACGCTGACCCCAGCTAACTCAAGAAGTCATGACCAAAGATGGGAATATTTAATGGAATAACTGAATGTCAACTATCTTACAAATGCAACTGTATTTCAATATTTTACACAGGTAAGTTTAACACAATATGGAAAAGGAAGAAAACTTACAAATGCTCCCTTCATCTCATTAAAGACAACTCCTTTGAAGATCAGGGGGGTCTGGGGGTCACTGGGATTCTCATGTTCGAGTCGCCATCCTTCCTGCCTAATGATGACAATCATTATCCGATGACAGCAATTCCAATACTAAGTCTGAACCAGGTAGTTAAACCACCACGTACCAGAAATCCAGTTCCCGCAAACGTGGGAAAAAGACCGCATCCAAGTACACCGAGAGCAGATTCTGAAAATCCCTGGGATTTTGTGTGGAAAACGGATACAGAGTGTAATCACTGGCTGGGTACAAAGGAAAAGAGAAATTTTTAAATACAACAGATTCCTCCAGAAATTAATTTACTTTCGAGCCTCACTTCCCTGCAACAGTGCGTGCCAACTGGCCACAGAGAGACGGCAGCGATCCGCGCTCTGGGTCCTACCTCGCTGCTCTCCTGGTCCGTCGCCCGAATCCTGACTTTCCCAGACCCAACTCAGGGTCGGCATCTGTGCTAATTCTTCAGTGAACACCTGTACGGCCCAGGTGCCTCCAGAGGCTTTCGCACGCCGGGAAAGACCAGCTCATGCCCGGGGAGCATGGTCTGACCTGCTCTTTGGTTTCCCTCCTTGCAGCAGGCTGTGTTCACCCCACCAGCCGTGTGCTCTCCCAAGACGCACCAACGTCCACGCTCGTGAGGCCCAATACTGTAGCAACATTCCCAACATTGTTTGGGCCCTTTCTAGAAAAAACCTCAAATACCCTTTTCCTGAAACTTCACTTTTTGTAATCTATGATATGATTTTCCTAAAGGATCAAATGTCTAATATCTTTTAACTAGACTAGAGATTGGTAAAAGTTATTCCAGTCAATTTATTAATTGCCAACTACCCTCTTTTTTCTCAGAAAATAACTGAACTCCAGCGGGTGTGTCTCGCAAACCCAACAGTAATTTCAGCCCAGGACGTCTCACCTGTGAAGGCGTTCATAAAAGTGGACAAGGACCTGTTCAACATTTTGAAGAAAGGATCTCTGCACGGGTACTTCTGAGAGCCACAGAGCACCGTGTGCTCCAGAATGTGCGGAACCCCCGTGCTATCCATCGGGGTCGTGCGGAATTGCACACTACGGCAAAGAAAGACGGACAAACAGAAGGGGAGAGGTTAACCTTAGTGCTGGCCAACACGGTGTCTCGACGCTGACTACCTCAGATGATCGGAAATAATCGTTTTATCACAATCTTTCCACAAAATGTTTTCTAACTGAAATGTATGAAATCACTGATTCAGACTATAAAATGACAATGTGTTATATTTAGATGAAAATATAAACTTATGTAGTCTTCTCCTAACATTTTCAGGATGCTCTGTCAATAAAAATATAACATTAATGAGATATGATTTTAAAGTGCTTCATGTACAGTAAATGTTCTAACACAAACATTCCAGACCACGCCCCTGCAATGCGCCCATACCTGAACAAGTTATTCGTGTCTTCTCTGGCCAGGTGCAGGTACCTCGCTCCTGTGTTGTCATGGCTCAGCTTGACTGCGGTTAGGAACA